AAACAAATATATAATCAAACAACTAATTTAAAAATATATAAAAAAAATCAAGAAATAATAAAAAAATATATCGAATAGTAAGTAAAATATATAATGAAAAATGAAAATATATACATATATATTCATAAACAAATATATATTCAAAAATCGAATAACATACCTTATTTTTTACAAAACAAAATATATAATTAAGAAAAAGAAAATTTAGTAGAAAAAATATAAATATCATAGAAATAAATAGAAATATAATTAAATAAATAAAAAAAAATATATATAAATGCATAGAAAATTAAATTCGCAAATATTAATAATCAAATCAAGAGTATAATTATCATAAAGAAATAGATAATTCTGAAAAATAAATAAATAAAGAAGAATCAAATAAGCAGATAAGTAAAGAGATAAAGAAATAATCAACCACGAGCAGACAATCAAATAATCAATACCAAACCCCTAACATATTTATCTATCTCGCCCTTTTTATCTTTCCTAACTATCTATCAAGATTAATCCATCTCTCATTACCTATCCAATTATCTACGTACCTATCCATCTATAAAGTTATTTCTTATTACTTATCTATTTACATATTTTTCTATCTCTCATCGCTATCTATCTTTTTTATCTCTCTATCGGTATCTACTTATCCATCGGTCAATATCTTAAATTATCTATCGTTATTTACATATCGATCCTCATATATCTATATCTTCGTATTATTCGTAAATTAATTCTATATTGAATATTTATGAAGCTGAGTGGGGGCTGAGGGCGACGACAAACACCTCAAGATAATAAGATTTTTAAATGAGCCCAAATTCTGAATTCGAATTTTTTTACCCTCTCCCCTACCAAAATGCGAATACTATCTTTCTAAAACAAGTACACAAATAGCGAATAAATATGCACGCAATCAAACAAGCAACTAAACAAATAGATAAGCAGACACACAAAAGAAATTAAAAAAGATAGAATCAGATATATAGATAGATAGACCCAGAGATAGATAGACAAAAAGGAAATAAACATAGAAAGAGAAGGCAGAGACACACAAACAGACGCCCAAATAAACAGAGACAAACGCACAGAGAGACGTACAAAGAGACACGCAGAGGGTCGCAAACAGAGACACACGCACACACACACACAGATACACAGAGAGATGCAAAGAGACACAAAAAGATATCTAGATCCACAAAGCACGGCACTAGAACTCGTAGTAATTAGATTTCGGAAAATTTTATCAACGCGAGCATTCCATGAATATTGAAGCGACCACAACCTGCTTGAATCTGCGAGCATATGGACACGAATTGATAGGATGATCTGTGCACGAAGGCAAATGCATGCGCACTCGGCCCCATTGGTTGGTCACACCCAAAGCAGTTAGGGTAGAGTTTTATTAGGGATCACTCCGTTGACAAACCAAAATGCAATTCATGATCATTTGGCATTGATTGGCCAAGCAAGCCGTGCTCTTCCAGGCACCATCGCATCTGGAAAATGCGTGTATTCTATATATTGGGGCCTATAGGGGCCTAAGCCCTTAGCCCGAAACCTAAATCCGAAGCCCTAATCCGATACAATGGAAAAGGTCGCTGTGCTCTTGTGTAGACAGAGCAGTTGCGTCTTCATAGACTTCCTGGGCAGAACACCAAGCCTTCATTTCAGACCAAGACCTCTTACATGAGAGTCTTAACATAAATATAAACTGGCTGGAAAGGGATGGAGATGCCCAGGTGCTGGTATTGTAAGTTTGATCCATGCAGTGGAGATTGGCCCAAGACGGTGCCCTTAATTAATCACCTGGATCCGGTGTAGGAGTCGCTGCTAAGCTCTGAAGAATTTTTGGATTGGTGCGCAGTCTTTCTGCGCAACTGTGCAGTGTATCCTGGTTTGAATCTTCTCCCATCTGAGCACGCACACCACAAGTTATAGCAAAACGTCAACATGTTAGCTGGACTCCGGAAACCAGACCTGTGGTACGAAAATCTTCTCTATTTCCACCATGCACGAGCGTCTCTTGACGCTGCTTGAAGGCCTCAGAGCTGTACAGAATGCCTCTCTTGAGAGGTGGTGACTCCATCTTCTTCCACTGTCTTCTTGCCCGACTCTGCAGAATCCTTGCAGAGGCATTGAATCTCGCACAAGCCTCTCAGATGTTTCAAAATCGGCAAGAACTCAGCTAGGTCACTCTACCGAACCCAGAGTCCTTCCGGCCACGCCCCTCTCGGCCCAGCACTGGAGCCTCTGAAGTGTGGGCCTCGCCCGCAGTCTCCTTGTCCTAGAGCTGTTACTTAATCATGGGTTCTTTATGTGGATAATACCTTTGCATACGGGCTGTCTACGAGGGAACAAGTGTATAAGACACCTTCACTTCCTGCGAATCCGCCGACTCATTGCCATCGTGCTCCGTGCAGACGTTGGGGTTGTTCTCAAAGATTCCGCTCACGCTCTTCCTGAATCTGTCACAAACCAGGGCACTTGCTGGTGCTCTCGTATTCCGGGGTACTTAGACGACTGGACGGGAATTACAGCTTTAGCTGTACAGCCAAGCAAGTTGCATGCTGGTAGCCAAAAAGGATGGCTACCCAAGGTAGGACGCAAAGCTCAAGTCAACGTAAGTATGCCGCTGTCTGGAATGTATGGGTTTATGCACGGGGTTGCGCAGAGTTTCCACAGAGGCTGCTGCTGTGGAGAGAAATCGTACGGTTTCAACTAGTGTGCCAAACAGAAACCCAGCTTCACGAGCACGGAAATCTCCGCCACAGTCTCGGCGAGCTCCCCAGTGCGGCTGCGCACGAAGTCTGCAGCAACATGCTCCTGGGATCTGAATAAGGGGGGGGTTTGGGGCATGATAGACTATACTTCTATTGTGAGGCTGACCAAACATGATATTCCCAAGGCTGACTGCATGAACTCTCAATCGCCTCTGTTCACTTCAATGCCAAGGTTGTAGGTCCAGTGCCCGAGTCACCCTTTGCCTTCATGGAGGGGATAGCCCTCCCGTAGCAAACGACATCAATGGCGCTGGATGCAGGAGCCATCAGCGAATTTCAATACGGACTTCATAGATGTGAAAGTACTCCGATTTCGGCTTGCCCTGCATCCTACTCCTACTCCTCAACTCCAAACCCAGATGTCGGCGCTCAGCACTTGCCATTGCGAAGGTGAACCGCTCATTTTAGTTGTATTATCGGCATTGCGACTGCAATCGGCAGATGTTTCATATATATTGAAGAAACAATGTTGGCCTGACTCTAAGCCGGGGCTCCTTAAGGAGCGGCACGGGATTCTTCTGTGCTTCGACGTCACCCTCCGGTTTGGCTGGGTACTTCAAGATCAGCACTAGCCTTGGCAAACAGCATTTACAGAACTCTCTACGAGGCACTAAGTCTGAATCATGCTGGCCACAAGGTCTAAACGTCTCAGATGGCAAATTGAACTGATTAAAGAAGAAGGACTGACGCGTCCTTGTTCCTGTCCAGAATAAGAAGACAAGATGTTAGGGAGGACCTTGCAAACAATCTGTGCTGGGGGATGCATTTCTCAAGCCATAAGCCATAATGGTGGTCTCATCAGATAATGGTTTCTCAAGAAACACCTCAACATGTAGCCGGAGAAGGAATGATGCCCCAAGAAAGTGTCTGGCATTGCGACGATGGGCCGGAAGACGATGAAACATGTCACATAGCAACTAGAGCTGATCCGCTTCGACCAACTCGAGTTGAGCTCTAAGCCATAAAAGCCCTACAAGTTAACATCTGAGATTTCCGGCTCCCTTGCAGCCCTGCAGCTGGATGAGAGACAGAAGCATCCCGAAAATGTTGGGGGCCCAGACTGGAAGCTTTTGATTTCGCATGCCCACAGCGAACCAGCAGAGGCTGTTGAGGAAGCCCAGAAATATCCTTTCTACCGGGCTTGAGCTTCGACTTCGGTGAGCTGGCTTTCGTCTTTGTCAGTAGCCAACACATAAGAACTGGCTTGAATATTACACTGGAGAGACTAAGTGTGGTGGTTTCCTAGCTGTGGCTTACGGCGGAGATTTCAAAAAGACTGTAGAAATTTGATCTTCAAAGTAAAAAGTTGTGCTGTAGGTTGTTGATAAAGGGTCTGCATGACTGGCAAAGGCGTGGAAGACTTTGTGCGAATCACCTCTTGCAGCACCGAGAGGGGGGCTGCATACATGATGATGCCCACAAGCCTGCTCCAGTCTTCGAAAAACAAAAATGGTCCTTCGAAGGCTACACACTGTCTTGGCATACGACTCGCTTGTAAGAACATCCATCGGCTTTTGGCACAAGAAGCAAGGTGGCTGCTTTACAAACATTCTCGTCCTACAGCATGGATTCGTTTCCATACGTGGAAGCTACAAGCAACCGAGACTGTCCCAAAGATAAAGCCTAGATGCATCCCCAGGCTTCCAACTCTGCCAGGAGCGCGCTCGCCACCAACTCCGGCATACAGGACGATTAAGACAGACAAGGCCAAGATGAAGATTGTGCTTGCACAAGCCTGAAAATTCCTGAGCTGTCCCCTTGAGGGTCCTGTAAATGAGCTTCATCATGGTTCATCTTGTTTGGGGTGAAGTAGGCAACGGCCTAAGTGAAAAATGGGGAATTGGGGGGACTGCTCTGAAAGAAAGCAAAGCTTCCAACGCTCAGCCTTCTCATCACGCCGTGCAAGACACCAGCAAGTGATGATGCTAAAGAAACCCACAGCCACACCATAGGCATTGCAAGGGATCACCTGGTTAACAGGCATGAAAATCCCATAGCCAAGTTGTGTCGCACAGTTCAGGAAGAAGCAGAGCAGATTCACTGGATTAACGTTCTGCACCTTTGCAGGGGTCGCGATGACGTCAATAGTCTGTGTCAAGGGGGAGGTCATGAAAAGGAAAGCGAAACAAGTCGCCACCGTCTCCAGGATAAAGTCGCCCAACATGATCAGACTCTGCAAAGGGAAGCCGGGACAGGCACGTGTGGAAATGAGATGAAGCCTTGAGCCCGAGATCATGGGATTGGTCTGGGCGAGCTAACAAATTTAGGGGCTGTGGGGGCTTAGATGCTTCTTTAGAGAGTTGCTTGCGCAGGCTGCGTGTTTGCAAGCGTCGCTGCCAGTTATGTTGTGCGGGTCCTCGTGACCTCCGTGTAGGATAAGTTTAGAGTGATTCCCGAAAACTTTTAGGTGGGAAAAAGCCAAGGAAGCCCCCCATGCTATTTGGCCCATTGTGACAACCGTCATAGGTAACGGTGGATTCTCTGCAAGGCCCACGTCTAGATCTTTTGAGTCAGGTCGTGTCTGTACTTGGGGTCCTCCGATTCACGGGGACTACAACGTGATCCCCCTCTGCTCCGGAAGCACTTACTGTTTAATCTACCCCCCCAAAAATGATAGTAGTAATGACAACAAGAATAATATCTATGATAATCATAACAATAGTAATAATAATAGTAACAAAATTACCAACATCTGGTTACTTAAGACCCTGCATGGGACAAAATCTCAGCATTGTTGTCGCCTACATGCGAGACTTCCACCTGGCCTCATGATATGACACTTTCCGAACTAACGGAGTTGCATGAGGTTATGTGAAACGCAAGACTTCTGCAAAATGTGGGGTGCCTTGCTGAGAGGGGCCTTACAGCAATTAGGTCACATTTGGAGGCATATGGGGGACTCCTGTACTACTTAAGAGCTAGCATCTACTGGCCTGAATAACAAGACTATCGCTTGGGCCATTGAATTCTACCACAACCCCAACCCCAATCCCTAAACCCCAGATTGTGACGCAGCTCGTGGCAGGGAGATCCACCTGTTAGGCATAAGGGGTTAAAGGTTAGGATTAGGGTTTAGAGGTTTTAGTGTTCAAGGTTGAGGGGTATATAAAGGGCATATTGTGGGGCCACTGAAACATGTCTAGGGCATCTTGGTACCGCACTGGCCACACAAAACATGTCTAGGGCATCCGAGTACTACATTGGCCACACAAAGCATGAGTACTGCACTGGCCACACAAAACATGTCTAGTGTCGAGGGCATCCGAGTACTGCACTGGAACGAATCTACGGGATCAGAGTACTGCACTTGCCACACAAAACATATCTAGGGCACAAAACTTGCCCAGGGTATCCGAGTACTGCCTGGCCACACAAAAACATGTCTAGGGCATGCGAGTACTGCACTGGCCACATGTAGGGCAGCCGAGTACTGCACTAGCCACACAAAACATGTCTAGGAGTACTGCACTGGCGGCATCCGAGTACTTCACTGGCCACA